AGAAGGTCAAGTGTAGGACTTGGTGGACATAATGGTCCCAAAATAATATATATAGCTAACTGTTTCCCAGTCATCAAATTCACACAATATTTCTCTGTGTTTTGGGGCTTCCAGTCACATATGGCTTTTGTTTCCTAAATTTGAGAGAATTTGGGAATCATCCTAAATCCCTCATGTCTATATCACAAGAGAATTGCACCCCCCCTTCCCCCATCTTTCCAATACAGAAGGAGGTGAGCCATGGGGTTCTATGGGAAGTTTCCCTGCCTTGGCACTGTTGACATGTGAGTCAGCTAATTGTTCGTTGAGGGGGCTGCCCTGTGCACTGTAGGATGGTTAGCACCATTCGTGGCCTCTACCCTCTAAATTCCAGTAGCAGCCCTCCAGCTGTGACAAAAAGTTTCCAGCCCTGGCCAGTGTGGTTCACTTGGTTGGGCATCGACCCGTGTACTGAGAGAGAGGTTGCTGGTTCCATTCCCGCTGGGGGTACATGCCCTGGGTTGTGGGCTGGATCCCAGGTGGAGGTGTGTGCAGGAAGTAGTCGTTCTATGGATGTTTCTCTCTCTCTCTAAAAATTCTCTCTGAAAATTTTAAAAATGTCCAGATATTACTAAATTACTAAATACCCCAGGGTGTGTGTGTGTCAAAGTTGCCACATTAGAATCATTGTTTTAAAGGAATGTATGTGGGTACATGCCCTGGGTTGTGGGCTGATTCCCAGGTAGAGGTGTGTGCAGGAGGCAGTCGATCTATGGATGTTTCTCTCTCTCTAAAAATTCAGTAAACGATGCTTTTTAAAAATGTCCAGATATTACTAAATACCCCAGGGTGTGTGTGTGTGTGTGTGTGTGTGTGTGTGTCAAAATTGCCACATTAGAATCATTGTTTTAAAGGAATGTTCTTAGTTCTCCCAAAAGCATCAGGTACACACACACACACACACACACACACACCCTCAACAGGAAGGAGGACTTCCTAGCAGTAGCGGACCATTTGGGGCTGAGGAGACAGTGCCAGGAAGCTGTTCTGTGAAGACCCCTCTTTGACTGCCCTCCCCTGTATGAGAGTTGCCAACAGCAGGAACTTCTTAGCCTTGGCATGTGAAGAGGGGGTGCTTTCTTTGCAGACAGGGAAACCTATACTTCCATAGCTAGACTCATTTCTTCCTATGATGTCGCAGGAATACTTACAGTATGCTTTTGGACATTTTAGTAACTTCTATCCCTTGAATTTTCAGTGACACAGGAAGAGATACAATTTAAACCAGAATCCCTCTGTAAGACGCTGTTCTCAGATCATAAAGAACTGGAGGAATTCATGAAGACACAGCTACGTCCTATCTCGCAGGGGATTGTGATATTTTCTCGAAGCTGGGCTAGTGATATTGGCTTAAGGAAAGAGCAGAATGTCTTGTGTGACGCTCTCCTAATAGCGGTGAACAGCCCGCTGGTACTCTATACAATCTGGATGCACCCGAGTGGGCCCGAAGGGCCTGAGTATGCCCGAACCACTGCTCGTCACTTAAAGCAGAAACTGGGGACTGTTGGTGGTTACACGGGGAAAGTGTGTGTCGTTCCGAGACTCCTGCACCTGCCGGGCACACAGCCTAGACCCTGTGGAATCCCTGTGCACTACCCCCAATCCTACCAGCTTGCTGATGAGGAGGAAATGGAAGACTTGTTGCAGGCCCTTATCGTGGTGGTCTTGCTGTGCTCTCGATCCCTTCTGAGTGACCGGCTGGGCTGTGAATTTTTCAACTTGCTCATAGAGGAGCAGTGTGAGTTGCTTTCAGAGAGTCTTCAAGAGACACGAGAATTGTTCATCCACTGCTTCCCAGGAACCAGGAAGACAGCCCTCGCCATAAAGATCATGGAGAAAATCAAGGACCTATTCCACTGCAAACCAAAAGAGATCCTCTATGTTTGCGAACATGACTCCTTAAAGGATTACGTGGCGTGAGTGTTTCACTGACTAAACACAGTAAATGTGTTGAGTCAGTCTTTTCAACAGTATCACCAAAGTAATTTACTTAAGATTTTGCAATGCCTTAACTAAGTAAGTGCAAGAGCCCAGACATTTGCAAGTGACCAGGTAGCTGAGCTATAACTGGGTACTTTGCTATTTCCAGTCCTCAGTATTTCATCATAAATCAGCCAAGTCTGCATACATTTAAGTTTATATAACTAGGAACAGTTTCCCACAATCTGTGGTCTTAAATTTAAAGAAAAGTAGAAATGAACCTATCTTGCTTTAAAGAAACATTTTGCTTGCTGCTTAATATTGTAAAGTCACAGTATATTTCAAGTGATGAGACATTCTACCTACTAGAAACTTGAATTTAAATACCATTTGATTTTGCTTATAAAATATTTTCATGTTTGACTTGTTCTGAATCAATTTTAGAAGACATACAAATCTGCTTCTGATTTAAATCTTTAGCTTTTAATTTAGTAAAAGAAATTGGTTGCTTTATAATTCAGCAAATGAGGGCAAACTATTTTCATTTTTTGTCTGGTTTACTTATTTATTCAACAAATCTTTTTGAGCACCGTGTATATGCTAGGTACTGTGTACATTGAGTGTTAGTGGGGATAAAGATTTTGAAGACCTGGCCATAAAGCCCAAAA